GTAAGAAAAACAGATGTTACAGCTTGATCACATGATTAAAAGTGATTTTGATACCATTATTCATGAGCGATCACTGGTTCCACAAGTCAATTTTATTGCAAAGGCATAAGCAGGTGTCCTGATTCATTAAAAACCACGCAGATGTTCATTAGGACGCGCTAATCACGACAGTGACTGAGGGCCGAGAGGCTCCCGGTTCACTTCTGGGGCCGTCGCAAACATGCCTTCCTTTCCCTGTTTATCTCACTCCTCGTGAATCACACTTCCGAATGCTAAGACATTTTAAGTTATTCCTGGAAAGTAATACATCTTCACGCTTACCAGATTATCTCATTATAGGCATTTCTCGGAGACTGACACGGTATTTGACAAGGACAGTTCTTTCCCTAAACTGGGTTTCTGTTTCCCACTCAAACGCGCTGCTGCTGTCACGCTGCGCCTGGTCCAGGACACCCATAAAATACTCCGTTCCTCCCTGCAGGCTAAAAATGTGACCCTCCGGCCCGTTTGCTGCCTGTTGTCCTAGGAAAATTATAAAGAGCCCCTTCTTTCATCCTCCTTGTTTGCGTCATACATTTTTTTGGTAGCATTCGCTGCAGGGTCGTAACGCTGGTGTGGTGGGAAGACCCCAAAAACAGCGGGGCCCCGACTCCCAGCACCGCGGCAGGGGCGCGAGCGTGCCAGGGCGCAGGCCCAGAGCCTTCGGGGCGACATTAGGAAACTTGTTATCTAGCTGACCTTCTGAAGGGGTGACAATAAAAAGTATATATATAGATGATAGACAATAACCTCATTTTCTAAGAAACATGTAAGTAGTAAGCCAAAGGTCTTCAACGTGGTTGTTATACCTGGACTCCTCGGATTTCAATCCCAGCTCCAAACCCTTAATCTCTCTAAGCTTTGGTTTCCTCATCTATGTAAAAGCAGATGATAATAGTTCCTACGCATAAGATGATAGGGAGGGTAAATGAGCTAGTAACACACTTTGAAACATTGATCATAGTGCCTGTCACATGCTAAGTGCTCAAGACATGTCAGTCATTATTATTTAATAATATTATATAATCTCAAAGAAGTCAATTGCCAAACAGGGCATGAAACTGACCTTCATTCTTAAATATCACATGAGAGAAATGCACAGAGAGACTTCCAGTTTTGTTTTGTTTTGTTTTTTTACCTATACTAGGGTAGGATAAATTCACAATTAATCAAAATCCAAGTAGATACTACATAAATATGTATAATTTAAGATTCCAAAATAATTGAGTCATTTATCTATTTTTTCAGTTATCAAATAAATCATAGTTCAGAGCACGCTGTACATAGGTTTCTGTGCTCTTCATTTAATACTAGAAAACGTACCTGACTGTATTTCCACCTAAAGATGGATGACACGAATACAGAGCAAGTCCCGAATTCACGGCCCAGCCTCGTTCAGGTCAATGGCTGATTTTCTATGAAGACGTCTAACAGACGGTCAGTCAGTCATTCTGCATACTTCTATTTAAATGCCTCAAAGATGAAGACCCAGGGAACAACGGAGCGGGACTGACATTTTTTTCTTTTGATGAATTTGATTAGAGACAAAATCTTAGTCATCAAAACTAAACCATTAAAATGTTCTAAAAATGTCTTCAAGATAAAATATTGAATTAGATTCTGAGATATTCTAAGATACTATAAAGTAATGATGGGGAGGCGGAATGGGGAATCAGTGGTGCACACCATATTTTGCCATGTATAGTGAGCACTGTTTTGCTCAAACTTTTGAAAGAAAAATAAGGATGTGCATTATACATGGGTAGTATGGATTCCCATGTATAATGTGACTTATACATGGGACTCAGTACCAAAACATGGGTGCACATTATACACAGCAAAACACAGTATATCAACACTCACCAGCAGTACCATGCAAAGGAACACAGTGCTCCAATTCTTTATATTTAATGAAAGTCTATACATTGGCTTACTAAAAGAAAGAATGAAATTAAGACTAAAATCTGTACTGTCCATGAAAAGCAGAGGACAATAGGAATTTAAATAAGTTGAAAGCAACATATCCTGTCTAATAGTTTAGGAATTAGAACTCTCTTTGCTCATTAAATATTAATACATTATTAAAATTTGACAGGGACTATTTTATCACTGTGCATTTTTGAAAGTAATAGAAGCAAAAATTAAAGTTATAAAATCTTGTTTATCTCTGTTAAAGTATTCTGAATTCTGATGTCACAATTTAGATTGTTCTTCTAAAAATAACAAATTTATGAAATTTGATTTTTACATCTATTCAACACACATTTCATGACATCTCAAATATATCCTTTCTGTGGTAGATCAGGTCACAAATAAAAAGCACAACTATCCAGGAAGGAGACATAAATATGTATTTACAATACAGGGTAATAGACACAAAGAGACGTGCAGCTGTTGAGCACATAGGACGGTACACTCTACTGGCTGAGGGTCCTTCCAGGAAGTAGCATCAGAGTCAAGTCTTGAAAGCTGGCCGTGTGTTAGGCAGTGGGAAGGGTTCGGGGACGGCCTCTGGAACCAGATCCTGCAGGGCCAAAGCTAATCCAAGACATAGGAGAGAGATCAGGAATTTGGAAAAGGGCAATATAAAGAAATGGCAAAGGTGAGCCTGCAGAGGTTTGACAGGAAGCTGCCACATTGTTACATGGTCAGCTTTGTGTTTTAGAAAGATGATTTAGGCAGCAATGCAACAAAAAACAAACAAACAAACAAACAAAAAAGATGAATAGAAGCTGGGACTCGGGTAGGAAAATCAAGAATTCAGTTGTCCCTGGGGAGGACAAGGCAGGGGAGGCAGGGGGTGGATTACTGAGCTGTCGGAAGGCCAAAGAAGAGCGATTCGTGGCTCACATGTTTTAATTAATAGAGAAGAAAATATCACAGTGAGGTCTAGGTTTTGGCCTAATAAACACATATGGAGGGAAAAGAGGAAGACTACAGAGGGAGGGGATTCACATTAGAGTCTACTCTAATCTGAAAGTATCTGGGCATATTATGACATTAACTCTCCCTAATAGGCTGCAAAACCCTGTTAGCTGGAAAGAATAATAGAATTTCCCATTTAATACCTAAATGTAGAGTAGTTTCCTTATTTCAGCTTTTCTACTCAGTATTTTCCGCCAACTGACAGAGTCAGTATGAGTTAATCCATTTATCATCTCCACACAGGGAGTAAATGGAAGATTTTCGTGTTTAATCTAATGTCGGTGAAGTAATTTTCCAGAAACCCTCCAGAGAGACTCTGAAAAGCCAAAATTCACCTTTAATTTTCTGAGTACTTTTTCTTCTTAAAGTTTCTGAAATAAGTTGTCTTTACTATAAAAAATAGCAAGCCACTGCCACTTGAAAATTCAATTTACTCTGTAAATATTCCAGATCATTTTACCTTGGGGCAGCAATTTTTCCTGCTTGAAAAGTATTTTAGCCTTCGTAGTAGCAGCAAAATTTTAGGGTGTATACCGTGCCTGAGCTACAAATTCTTTTTGGTTTGTACATACCTAGTCACCCATTTGATGTTTTGAATTGGACTCAGTCAGGTAACAGTCTAATTTCTCACTGAATTCAAATTGTTTAGATTAACTAAGTGAACTGATTAGTCTCTGCCATCATATAGATATTGCCCATGATTATGTTTTCAAAGTAATAATGAATGAAACCAAAATAAATGCACAGCTTATGGCTCAAGAATAAAATGCAATATGCCATGGCTTAAGGGGTGTTTGCTAGTTCAACAAAACTTGTATGTAGAGTTGACAGGCTTTACACAAAATCCTACTACAACAAAATAATGAGCAGCTTCCAAGTTACTTCTTTATGTGTATTAGTCATACTACTATAATTTTTAACATTAGTTAGGATGCCATATAAATTATAAATCACTACAAGAACTTTATTATAATTTTCTCAGCCAGCACATAGCATAAATTTCTATAAAGTTTTCTTAAACTCATTAAACTCCTCTGTTCCACATTCTAATCCCCTAGTCACGAAGACTTGTGGGTTCCTTGCCACCATTCCAAACTCCCCTCTGCGTCTGACCGTTCTGTGAGCAGCGGGACGAGGGACCCACGCCACCCACACAGCCGGCAGCTCTCGCATCGCCGTCTTCAACCTGATCCAGTGTTCCACAGCACAGTCCTGATGTTCCAGCCAAAACCACCGACAAATTTCCACGTCTATTCAGAGTTCATGTGATTTGGTTGGAGTGATTTCATACTATTTCAGTTACATATGCGAGAGCAACTAAGGAGTCTCTCTCTGAAGAAAAGTCTAAGGCATTTGCAGCATCATAGAAGCACTCTAATACTTCTAGATTTTAGACAGAAGAATCAGACAGAAAAGCAGTAAGGGTGCATTTTTAGGTATTGAGCCAACTGTGGACACCAGGAGAGTCAAAGGTGCCAGGAAACCATGAATCCCAGATGCATCCTTGGGGCAGTGCCACATTATGACACTCTGGCCCTGCACCCAGCAACGACAGTACTCAATGGACTTAGGAAATCCAAAACTCGCAGCTTTGAAAAAAACGCTCTCCCTAAAGACTGAGAATGACTACAGCTGGCGTAGGAACGCAGCGCAGATGCGCGGGACACAGACAGGGACATTTGTGTTTGTGGTGAGGGAGTTGGGGGAAGTGCACGGATCCATTTCCTTGTCCTAAACCACTACGTTTGGAGGAAAACTATGCTTTGCTTGTGACTGTAGAGAGTAGCCGTCAATAGCAGAGGCATAAAGTGTTCGCTTTCTAGTAAAGACACACTTTCCTGCAACATGACCGAAGGGCGAACTTTACATAAATATTATTCCCGTTTTATACGTAGTAAGCACAACTGGGGAAAATACTTTCCAAGGAAAATGGCAAAGGCCTCCTTTGTGATGAATTCTTTGGTTCCAAGCCGGCCTTGAGTGACAATAGCTCTGTGAACTATTACCTGGTTTTGCTGGTGTCTGGTCTGTGTGTCCCCTGAGTACCAGGATGAAATTACTCTCCTGGTTTATAGCTCATAGTACATATTTAATACAATTTACTGTGCTTTTATGTAAAATAATGACAGAACAAAAATGTCTTTAGAGCTGAGATAGCATCTGTTATTTACAAAGCTACTGCCAAAAATGCTGCTTAAACTTTTTATTCTTTTAAAAAATGAAAACTCAGATGTCCTCAACAGGAAGCACAGACAAAGCAGGAATACAAACTCTCTGTCCATCTGCCCATGACTCTTGGCATGATGTTTCTCATTCACTGGCCACAGATTCCTGAGTCAAATAAAACACAATGAAACTTAATTAGCACGTCCTGGTTTTCTAGAATGATATCATCACTTTAGCAAAGCAAAAATTGCTGGGAAGGGTGATCCGAACTATTGTTAAAACCAACAGCTCCTACTCTAACTACTTGGGGAAAAAATACTGATGAATTATGAAAATTTTGATTCTAATCAGTAAAGAAAATAGCTAATAGGAACCAAAAATATGGGAATATGTGAGAATACAATAGAGGAATCCAGAAAAATTGAGAGGGGGAAGAAAAAGAACTACATGAAAAATTGTAAAAGAAACCAGTCTGTGGTGGCAAGAGAAAAAGATTTACCTTTAGATTGGTTCTCTGGTGGAAAAAAAATGTCATTTATTTTTGTATAACTATATATTTCACCCATAATATTGTAAACAAACATATCCCAACACATGGTGATTGACTAGGTCTTTAGTGAAACAAACAAAATAATAGCTGGATTAATAGATGGCCTATGTATAATGGATTTTACTTTTTACTTGGAATACCATTTAGAAGTAACTTACATTTTTTCTGTGCCTGGGGACATTATTTTCTATACCATTGCTATCATCTGATTTCCTGCATTGAAAATAAAGAAGAAAATCACTAGCTGTTCACACTGCATAAAACGAAACCAGTAACCGTCCGCCTCACAGCTCTCCGGTTAAGGTGAAAGGTAACTACAGACAGAAGTCACTCTTCTTAAACACGTTTGAGTCATAATGTTGATTGTTTTTATGCCACTGATTTTGTTATCATCGATGACAGTGACAAAGACCTGTTTATTTTATTTGGAGGAAGACTTGCTTCTCCCTAGACATGGGGGAGGGGGGGGCTTGGGGACATGGCTATAATGTGTGTGTTGTTTTGACACAGGCAAGATAATAGCCAGTCAGGAATTCTGCCACTACGTGGGAGACAGGTGCGATTTGACATGATTATTACACTGAGACAGAGGCTAAACACGGTTCTTCGTCTACCCGGTATGCGTCAGAGCAAGGATACAAGCCTGGACTTCAGATTCTAAGACAAGAGTGACTAAACTAGCCAACAAGGGTGTATAATGGATGCCCTTCTAGGTCTTACGGGCAGCTCTGGGCTCATTAAGCTATTAACACCAGACAATAAATTCAGCCACCAAATCAATTACATCAGAATTTGGAGCGAGGGTGGGTAGGTGAGATTGTGCGGATGAAATATCAGAGTGGATCAGAAAACGAGGGAGTCCTCCTTGGACTATCGGAATGAGGACTAAAACCAGCCTGTTTACATGTTACATGTTTAGTACTATTTTTAAAAATAATTTTCACCGACAGCCTACAAATCACTGGTGTCTAACTAAACACACATGTATGTAAATAAACATTATATATAAAATACATTGATATACAATATTTATTTTCTGTCAAAAATAAATTTATCTCCTAACTAAGAATTCTAAAAGAGCATTGGTAAAAGGTTGGTCCAAATGCGTTCAAGTACCCTTGATCCTTGCATGAAATCTAAGGATAACCCAATAGCCTACAGATGAGAAAAATGAAACAATGATCTCTGTGGAGCAGAATAGGATGGAAAAAATGATGTACAATATCCCAATTTTCAAAAAGCAAAAAGCCAAGGCATTATACTAGAGATCGAAACAATCTGACATTGCCAAGACATTCTAGAAAAACTATTTTTAAATATTTCTTAACTAGGGTGGGCTACATGAATGGGAACTGAAGTACTGAGAGGTGACAGTCCGCTCCCTGTGGCTCAGGCCCCCACCTTTCCGAGCGTGTCCTAACCTGACCGGACAGCACCCTGCCCCCCGCCCCCGGCACTGCGAGGGGCGGTCAGAAGCACCGGGCGGCTCAGCTGGCAGCGGGGACACAGCCAGGCAAGGCTGGGGCTGTCTCAGAAATCGAAACGACTGGCATGTGTTTCCTATGACTTTAAGAAATGGACGCCGCACACGGGAACCAGAAAGATGACGAATTCAAATTAATATAAGTAAGATGTCCAGGTTGTCCAGAAAGAGGGACAATCAATTCCCTCCCAACCGTGAGAGTGCGAGTCTAAGACAACACCGCTTTATTCGTCCCTGGGGTCGTGGGACTCCCGATGGAATTTTTATGGCCTTAATTTCGAAGCTCAAATAGTGTTGACTTATTTCACCTGCCATCGGTGAATTGAGTAAAAGTAACTATTTTGAATAATGTCTACAAATATCTAAAGGACAACTGCACACTCGTGTCCTGCCCTTTAAGCGTGGCCACAGTGCCCACGCCTCAGAGCTCCTGCTGGCTGATAGAAAATGTAAGTGCAATTTTTTTGTTGGTAGCTGTTGCTCAGGCCTCCCGTTTCCTGGGTTTCTCTCGGCTGCTTTCCTCTGGTGTCATTTTCCTGGTCCCCAGTCCCTGGCTCTGTACTGAGATTTTTTTGAAGTGTCATTGACATACAATATCATATTAGTCTCAGGTGCACAACATGGTGATTCAACATTTATATACCTTACAATGTGATCATCACAATAAGTCCATCTATCACCAACAAAGTTCCTACGATATTGTTGACTATGTTCTCTGGGCTGAACATGACATCCTTGTGGCTTACTTATGGACCTAAAGGGCATTATGCTAAGTGAAGTAAATCAGACACAGACAAATACCATATGATTTCACTTACATGTAGAGTCTAAAAACAAAACAAATGAATAAACAAAACAGAAACAGACTCGGTGACAGAGAACAAACAGATGGTCACCAGAGGGGCAGGGATGGGTGAAGAAGATGAAGGAGAGTAAGAGGTACAGACTTCTAGTTATAAACTAAATGCTGCTCAGATTTCCATCCCAGCCTTGGCCACGTCTGTCACTGGATGCCACCATGCAGTGCTCTGGCTTGGAGGAACCAGCCAGGCCCAGGTTCAGCGCACCAGGCTCCATGCCGGTAACCTCCATCCCAGACCTTTTCACGCGCAGGTTGGACGGGGGGGCCGGGGGCGGGGGTGATGTGCCAGCCAGCGGCACAATCTGGGTGCCTTCAAAAGTAATGACTAATGGAATTCTAGACCCGTTGTTTTCAACATGACAGTAAATCAGGAGCAGTGATTGACATGTGAAAGAAATGCAGATGCCAGGGGCTCGGATCTGGAAATCCAGGAAGATATGAGTAACTGAGCATCCAAAGTGATCAGAAATATAGCCAGGGTTGAGTATCAGTGCTTCACACAATACTGTTTCCTTGTGGTGACCGAACACCTCTGTGCATCGAATCCCCATGCCAGGCATTTTACATAAATAACACCATTTAATCCAACAGCCTTAGGCTGGAAGCACTGTTAAACCCACTTTCTGAGGAGGAAAGGGAAGCACAGAGAAGTGGAAGTCACAGTACAGAGTGGCAGAGATCGCACTGTTAGCAGGCAAATTCCAGATGCTTCGCTGCAACATGGCCAGAACGGAGCACACACACAATGCCCTCTGGGGATATCCTCCAACTATAAACATTTTATCCTATTTCATGTTCATCTGGATTTCTCTCAAGTGAAAATGAATCTAGAAAAAATACTACTTACAGCTGTTCAATTTGTTCAAATTCTTTCCCGTCATCTGTATAACGAAAGAAGAATATGAATGTTAATATTAGGATTGGTCTATGATTCTTATGGAGGGTGTATGTACAGTTCAGCTTTCCCCCGAGTTAAAGATGCACAGTGCCATCTTCCACGTGGAGTAAAGAGACACGCACGACACCAGACAACTGCCCCTTCCCCTGTCCTGCTCTCTCCCTGCTCTCCCCGCCTCACCTGAAGCTTCCATCACAGGACGTCTAGTGCCTTGAGTTTTCAAAACAGGGTTGATTGCTAGGTTATTAAAAAGTATTTGTTATTAAAAATGTAGTACAAAATCAGGAAAAAATACAGAATTTAAGATAACTTTTCTGAGGTGGGGGGACCATTGGTTTCTCAACCTGTAATCCATCAGGTGGAGGCTACAAAAATCGGCAACTGACAGGACAGCATCTCTTTTATGAGGCCTCTAGAATGCATGATGAATTCATTTTAAATGACTTATCTATGGGGTAAAGTAATTGTTTATCTGTTATTTTAAGCTACCACAGACTTTCGCAATACATAGCCCAGTACCAAAGCACATATCACCTAACTGGTGCATAGGGACCAGTAACACCAAAAAAAACAGGAAGAAAAGATCTATTTTGACACTAAAATATTTTAGTGAGCTCAAATAGGAAGACCATTAGTACAAGCTCATAGCTCTCTGATTTGAACATAAATATCACTCCAAATTACAAAAACTAGATTCCCCCCCCCAAAAAAAATACTCTAAAGCCCCTGTAATGTATTAAGTGATAACATGAGAATGTTATCTAAAAAAATAATAATAAATCCTACCTGGGCGGTTCTTTTTCTTTTGGGTGTACATTTCACAAAGCAGAATAACAGCCACCAAAATAACCACCTCAGCAGCTATCGCGAGAAACGGCTTGAGGGGCACCAGGTAGCTCAGCACGACGAGCTCAATGCGGTCTTCGCTCTCGCCTAACAGGAACACAGCCTGGCACCAGTAGGTCCCCTGATCGTCCTCCGAGAGGCGTGATAGCTTGAGCCTCGTTTCGTTAACAGCTGTTCCATTGATCACATACTTATCGTCCATTTGAACATCAAGGGGAACCTAACAGAAGGAGACCTTAAAATCCATTCCTGTCATACCGAATGTAAGACACATGCCCTCAGTCAGGGGTGTCCAAACTTTTGGCCCCTTGGGGCCTCGCTGGAAGAAGAAGAGTTGTCTTGGGCCACACATTAAATGCACCGCAACAGGTAATCACACACAAAATCTCATCATGTTTTAAGTAAATTTATGATTTTGCGTTGGGCCACATTCGTAGCCATCCTGAACCCCGTGGGCCGCAGGTTAGACACCCCTGCTCAGTGACCTAGTTTGGGGCAAAAGCTTTAAGATAGTGCCAAGGAAACAGCTTACCAGAAAAAGGCATATTAAAATCTGTGAAACGTTATACTTAGCAGAGTTCAGGTCATGTCAGAGTTTGATCTCCAAGAGGGAGCAAACAAAGGAGAAGTATACTTTGTTTTAAATATTTAGCACTGAAGGTCTGACACTGCAGCATGCAGGTCATCATGGGTAAATATTATATGAGAATTAATAATACAGAAAAATTCCAGCCATCTGGGCTTCACATTCGGCTTTCTGACTGGCTGTTTGAAGAACTTTCCCCTTCACCAGCACAGGCACACATTAAATTAAGTGTTAAATTAATGAAGCTATTAAATCTGATCGCCCCTGCATAGCCGGATCGCTGGCTCCTGACAAAAGGGGGGCTCTCCCACTGGAACTGAGGAGGAAGTCTTCAGGCCTTTAAATATGAGACAGAAGGGTTCGCAGAAATCCCTGGTAAGTCTGGTGTATGTGGTGGTCTGTCCACGCTCTGTCTTTTCATATCTGATTTTCTCTCTCTCTCTCTCAGGCAAGATAGCTTCTGAGAGATTCACTGGGTTTTCCCAGTTGCTCAAGAGCCACTCTATGCTACTGGGGGGGCGAGGTGGGATAAGGGCTTATTTATTTGATCCATTTAAATTAAACTGTGTTCTCAGGCCGTTGGCTGCCTTCACCACTCTGTCATTCGACTGCACTGTTCAACAAATGCTCATCTGCATCCGTTCTCAGAGGCCGTCTGATGAGGGGCTGTGGATGAGTATTACTGGCCCCCAAAATTATAGCAGCATGTTCCCCGTGCACAGCACTGCCTGCAATGCTTGTCACAGACGTAGCCCCTCCAACTCGGAGCTGAGGACCCAGAGCGCTGCCTGAGTAATGGGCACCCCAGGTAGGGGATCCTGATGCAGGCGGCTGGTCTGCCTTGTGAAGAAACACTTGACCTGCACCGTCTTCCCTGCACGTCTCTCATACCCTAAGATGAGCCCCACTGAGGGCCAAGTCAAGAGGAAATTTGTATAGCAAATGGAGAGAAGCACAGACTACAGTCTAAAAGTTTAATATAATTAGATTGAGGGTACTTTTGTCAGTATCCCACATACATTAATAAATTAAACTGTGTATTTCCAAAACCACACTGAATATTTTTACACATTTACATTTTTAAAAATATTTACATACAAAAAACAATTGCCTTTCCTGATCATCAATAAGGAGGTAAAGAGAAATGTTAATGGTGTAAATCTACTCCTAAGTGATTTGGAGGTATTTCTTGGAAAAATCCAACGGATACTGTCACAGAATCAGTGTCTCTCCCTTTTAAGCCCTTTCCCTGTCCTCCTGCAAAAGTCTGAATCTTGTCTCAGAAGGAATTTAATATTTCATGGTAAGAGCTATACTGTCCCATACTGTCCCTTCTAGAATTGCAGCTTGCCCTTACAGGGTTTAATTCCCACGATCATTGGCAGCCGGGCCATACATGGGTGTCCCCTAAAGGGCAATTTTTTAATTTCCCTACGATTTGAGGCTATTTGGGAGGGAGAAAGAGAGCCAGAAGAGATTTCTTGAATACTCATGTTTTTTTTTAATATCAGCTCTTTGAAAATCCATTAATTCCTTAACAGGAATTTTAAGCATCTGGCTTTCCTTAAGTCTCTGCAAGGCCAAAGGAGGCCAAAGTGAGTTACCGAAAGAACCTAAGACCTAAATTCAATTACCAAGTTTTTCATTCTTTTCTCCTGAGACAGAAGCAGGAAAAGAATATGGACTATTTTTTTCTAGTTACTTTCACAAAACGATAAAAAACAAATCTTTTCTTGTTGGGTTATTTCTAAGGTCATCAGTGAAAAATGACTTATGACTTCCTTTCAAAGATTTTAAATAAATTGCTAAACCCAAAAAGCAAAGTACCAGCTAATGAAACATTATTTTCAGATGTATAACGTACTGAGCTAAAAATGTCAATGACAACTCCATTTATCACTGTTCTCCCTTTATGAATGCATTCTACAGAAAAAGATAACAGACATATAAATAGTCTTAGGAATTCTGAGTCTGCTATAATCTCATTATTTAGGAAATAAAAAAATGTCTTGGCTTTCCTCAAAGAAATATGATCTTACCTTCACACTCCCATTACTACTGTACCAGGTCCAATTTAAAGGAAAACAACCTTGGCATTTACATGTCAGGACAGTTGAATCCCCCACATAAGTGATCAACGGTTTGTTTTTGCCATGAAGTTCTGGGACTAAGAGAAATTTAGAGAAAGGCATATTACTGAAAGTTTGAATAAAGAGGGTGTATTCAGGTTGAAGTCAATTCCTTTCATTTTCTCATTAATATGATTTTCTTTATGTAGTTTTAGTTCTATATAAAATGAAACTAGTTTATAGCAGTCAGAATGTATAATAGAAACAGTAACATAATAGATAGAGAGCTCAATACAATTGTCTGTAATGCAGAAATAGAAGAAAGATCTATTATTGAGCCTAATAACAAGTACAGGTACTATAATAAACTGTTACATGTTTGGACAAGAAACTTTGTGTTTCAAGCCTGTTTCTTCCTACCTACTAAGTTACTTTACAGCAAATTTTTTTTCAAAGCTTTATCCTTAGAGGGCATTTGATTGAGGATATAAAATTGTCAGGATATAAATTTTTTAGCTGATACAAATTTATGAAAATCCATCAAAGTTAGAGGAGGTGGGAACACGGAAAGGAACATGGAAATATTAAGAGCAAGAGTACAGACTAGGGAAGAAGACAGACTAAAAAAACACCTTCATGTGATTTTGTAAAAATATATATTAATAGTCATTATAATAAATTTCTTAAGTTTGAAGTAGATACCATTAGGAACAATAGAAATGACCACTGACTTTAGAAAAATTAAGTGTTAAGGATCAACTAACTTGGCCAATAAATTAAAACAGAAACTAATAAAAAGCCAACCAACAGTTTCCATGGTGAAACCAGTTCCTTCTGATTCACATCAAAGGATATGTAGACTGGTCAACTAAGATGACTTTCGTTGATTTTTTTCTTTTCTTTTACTAATTTAAGCAGGGTTTTGGTTTTGTGTTTTGTTTTGTTGTTGTTGTTGTTGTTGTTGTTTAGTTAGCCAACAGAGAGAATGTAAAAAAAAAAGTCTAAATTTTAATACTATGTTCATAAATTTTATAGATATTGTTTGGTATTTACTTGTTATCCTATTTTTAGACTTTATTTTGGAGAGGGTGAGGATGGGGAATGGAAAGATCAATTGTAGTTACAAAAATTAAGTTTCTAAATTAAATACACTTTTCAAGTTCTCTTGCCTTTCTCCTACCCAAAGATAATTAGGTCCCTGCTGGATGTACAAACTGTACAGATGAGGAAGGGGAAAATAATTGGTAATAACTACAAAAGAAATCCTGACTTGTCTAAACACCAGAGAAGGGGTAAAAATAGAGTTGTAGAGCAGAGTGTCTTCATGGGCTCTGGCCTTAGGTGATTATTGTTACAATCACGAGTGTGGGAAGAATCCTTTTTTCCTTCCTGTTTCAATCAGGCCTAAATAAGCATAGTACAATTGCACCATCAGCCTCTCCTTCGTCGGGTGCACCGGCCCACAGAGGGCCGGCTCAGGCACTGCTGATCATCACGAGGCCAGTGAGAGGCAGGCCCGTCACCTGCAAAAGCACAAATGCTTCCGTGACCCTAAGAAAGGCGACGGAGCCACCTGGAAGTCGTCGGTTCTCCACTTTTCATAGCCAACACGTGAGGAGACCGAAAGGTCCACAGGTTTACATAACCAAAGGCGTTACTTGCCAATTCAAATTTATATTTACCCCTCTCAGAGTGTACGAAAGCCTGGTGAGGTGTGCCTCGGGTGTCCCCGAGGGAATAGAGACACAAGGGCATGGGAGTAGCTCGACCGACGTCATCCCAGCCAGAAGTCGCTGGTGCACTGGCCTTGACAGAAGATATTCTGAGCACTCCTTGGGAGAGGCGACTGGAGTCCCGCGCGCCCAACTGGTCACCATCAGGCTGAGGGACATTCAGGGACAAGTGGTGACTGTGTGTCCATTCCAAAGGTCAGGTCATGAGTGTTTGAAAGAGACAGCACAACATGCCAGTGATGTGACAAAGATAAGCTTTAGGTCCACGGATGATCTGAATGAGAATTGCAGCTTCAACGTTACCGGTACCGAGGACAAACCTAGTGCCCCTTCCTACCGCACAACGTTGCTGTAAAGGACTCCGTACGGGAGCAAACCCTGCAAAGTGCACGGTGCAGCGAAACCACCACAACATTCAAACTTTGGCTGTGATCGTGTATGTGCTGCTTTTCTTAATGGAGCAATTTGTAATGCCCGGGCCTTTCCACACGGGGGTCATTAGCCAGCTTCATAGGATGCGCTATTGTCACACGCAGGATGACTGGGCCCGCTGGCCACGAGGCCCAGAGAAGAAATGCGGCCCAGGAGAGGAAGGGGGACTGGAAACTCTTCCCGCCTCGGAACCAGCGGACTGTGTGGGAACGGCCCCGAACGAGGAGAAGGCTCCAAACGGCGTCCCTGCCAGCCCACCCCACCCACTGGAAAAAGGAGATTAGAAGAGAAAAAGGACGAAAAATAGATGAATTCACAGGAAACAAGGCCCAGACGAATGAAGAAATAGTAGCCTTGAGCTGCTGGTGGCGGCAGCTTTTCCGTGAAACTGCAAAGCCAGTCCCGCTGCCGGGGGCGCGCTGTGCGGGGCCTGCCTGAAGCAGGTGAAGAAGATTTCGTTTTAAAGATTACAGCTTGAGTATGAATTAGAACATTTTAAATCAGGGTGCCCCATAGCTGCTCCTAACCCTACAAGAAATGGGATGAAAATGGCGAAATCCTTATAAAGAAAACCTTGTTTCTGGACCTAGCTAGTATAGGGAACAGGAAAAATACATGGAGTAACTTCACATATGATTATAAAACCTAAGAATACCAATCAAATGTCCCATTCACCACATACTGCCTTTACCAAGAAAAGGCAGAAATAAAGCAAATAATACTTTGAAACAACCATGAGTTATAATTTTAAAGAAGGGAATAATTGCTATCCACCTGCCTTTTTAAAAATAGAAGTGAAGACAGTGTCTCTCTGCAGTGTAAGCCCTGCCACTTGTGTTCTTTTTTATAACACAAGCGCCTGACTTCGGCTTCGGTGGCCGAGGCTCCGCTCCAAAGGCGGCTGAGGCTCCTTCGTTTTAGAGATCTCCGCTGACTTCAATAATGAGCACATGGACCACTTGTCAGGTTCCTCTTCCTGTGCTTTAAATTCCCACTCTTTTTGTTTAAATTCACCCATAAGGAGCGAGCCCGTAAAACCCTGGGCCCCACCTGCAGCCCCAATAACAGGCGGAACCCCAGGCCCCGAGCTCGCTCAGGCTCTCGCTCCACAACCTCTGTGGCCCCAGCTGGGCTGGGTCATTGCCAGGTCTTGTAAGTAACCAGCCTGGACCTTTTCAGAGTTTACTGATGAAGGGCTGCTGTCTTGCAATTATAATAGGAAATGCAAGGGTGGGTTCAGTGACGACATTGATTACTCATAGGCTGACACCGGTACACAACACTCTCACACAAGCGTTCTGCCCTGTTAGGTCCAGCTACTCCTGTGAGTTTGGGCTAGTTGGCCCAGTCTGCGGCTGCCCCTTCAGGGTTCATTTGTAGACTCAGAGAACATGCGAATGGAGGAAAAAAACCCATATGAGAGAACCGGAAGCAGCTCTAGAGTCCGAGAGAATTGGTTGGCCATCTGTCCTGATGTTAACATAATAAGTGAATTGCAAGCTCTTGAGAAAGAAGACAATAAGGTTAAATGTCAAAATGGTAAAGGCCTAAATGAGGCTGGACCACAGAACATTTTATTGTTTTGTTTTTCTTATGGTAGAGCTAGTTTCTTCAACTAGACAGGGTGGTGACCGAGGGCAGGACAGCAGTCTGTGGACTTAAGTCCCCGGCGACTCGATGTAAATCCCCTCTTCTCACCCAGCCCTCCAGTTTTCCAGTTCAGAGAGGACTGTCCTGGATGGGTCCTGTTTCCTAGGGCTGGGAATTCAGATCCCCATGATCGGCACGTGTTCCTCGTTCATGAGGGTGTATCCTCTGATGTGGAATAGGAACTACGAAATTGGGCTTGGGCTGGGAGGGAACAGATTCCTGTGCTTTGGTGTGAGGTTAGTAAGACCCTCACTGAGGAAAAATCAGCTGTCCATGTGGTCAAGCCTTCCAAGGATTTCAGCAAGGTGTGTGGTCAAGATTGGCGCATCATCATCATCATCATCACCATCAGTGATCTTGCGGTGGTGTCTCTTTATGTTTATATTTCTCTGTTTGACATTTTGTTATGAGGAAGAATGATTGGACCAAGTGGGAACAAAGTTATTCTTGGGCTTTCTGACAAAACACTATCAATCTGTCAGCTCAGCACTGCTTCCTAATCACACTTTATTGCAATATACCCAATACCTGGTGTAGTTTTGTTGTTAAATGAAGTATGAGAACATGTAAGCACAGGCAACATAACAATCCCACCGGGAAAGATCAATCCAGACAAGGCTCCCATGGAAGCCCTGCAAATTAAGCAGACGGCTGAAGCCTGGCTCAAGTGGGGATTCTTCTCTGAAGCCCCAGGCTCCTTCCAGACCACAGAAGGAGCGGAGCTGTGCTTTCAGTAGCGCAGCTGCGATGCAGCCACTTCCACGGCCAGGCGAGGCCCGCCGTGGAGCAAACGCTGCCCTGAAGGCAGGCTGAAACCGGCTGCCTGGGCGGGAATCAGGGGTGCCGCTCCTGCCCCCCAGCCTGCTGGCCTCCCAGGTAGCTCCCACGCTCCTCCATCTCAGTGTGCTCCCTTCTGGAGAGAAGCTGAGTCACGGTTCAGCAGGAAAATATGCTTTGGATCAAAGTATATTGACGTTGACGCACAGGCTAAGAATCAAAAGCAGAAGAAAAGCTGTGTTTTGGGGAAACCGTGGTAGATGGTATATTTTTTTAGTTAGCATTTCAGCAGCGCAGGCGTGGAAGGCATACCTGCTAGCTGAAAGGGACTTCTCAAGAAAATTGCGGGTCTTTTGCGAGGTTTGGGGGAGGGGTACATCGCTGCGCTATGAGCCCATCTCCGTGAAATGTTAATATCGGGATACAGACTGCGGGTGACAGTGGTGCCAGAGGGGAGCAAAACCCAAATTCTGCCTTCCTTTCATCTCTTCCGTTGGTTTTCCGCTGTCCCCTGGACTAATGGCCACGATGACACTAACCACTGCTCGGCTCGGCCTTGTACGGCGGACGCCGGCGGTGTGGGTCTAAACGATAAAATGCTCTGTGCTCGAGGACATCGCTGGTCTGAACAGCTCCCCAGGCACAGCTCAGACGGCACACTTGGAAGTGTTTATGAGCAGAAGGAGAGAGATACTGCATTCTGATGTGTCCTGCCGACCTTTTGGAACTTGGGAGAAACCAGGACACATGAGAGTCTTGGGATTAGAAGCATCCACTCTTAAAGATGGTGACTTAGCTGATTCAGGCCGATTTCTAGGAAAAGGAGGTCTAGGATTCCCCCTAGGGAAAGAGACAGCTCTATGGAGTCATGAGGTTGGAGATTTCTATCTGTGCGTCCGTGGACTCGAGGAAAACCATGCTGGTCATTTTGGGCTTATGTATTTCAAATTAGGAAAAAGATTGTTCCATGTGGTCAAAAACAGCTAACTTCAAACCTGGGGTTTGAAGCGGAGGCTCCAGCTATTCTGTCGTGCCACGCGGCTGTGCTTTGACTCCGGGGGTGCCGCCCAGTGAAGAGAGGTGGCGGGGCTAAGGCCCATGGCACCGCACACGGCGCCATCCAAACCTCACCGTGATGTCCCAACGTTCCACGTCCTGTCACTTGTCCTTTACCAACTTAACCACATCTCTCTGCTACAAGACTTTAACATTGATGAATAGTGTAGCAACTACCTCGGAATATTTGACCCACTACAGAGAAAACCTGTAGACCATCAATCCTCCTTCTCGGGTGGAAAGTAATCACCGACGTTAGCTGTCACCCGTTTCGGGCATCAGCGGGCAAACACACACAGTCAGCAGGGTTTTCTGCATCGGACTAATCGGCGATGTGGAGGCCCTTTTACAATCTTGTAGTAATAAATCAACCAGCGTCCATAAAGGCAGAGATGGGAACACTGCTGATAAATTGTTTGGAGAACATGCTCTATAGCTGACTCATGAAGTCAACAGCAGATTTTTTTTTTTTTTTTTTTTGGCTCAATTGAAAATAGAGGCTAATGCAGGCTTTTTATCCACACACAATTGTAGTGCTGCTAAGGAAAGATAACCCTCCTCCTTAGGAAAAACCATAAGCAATCCATGTGGAAAAAGCATAGTAGGACATTGATAAAAATACATATCATTCTATAAGCCTTACAGATCTAATTAAATAACTGTAACATGAGCTGTTCTGCAGATGCCCAAACGTTGGGAACTGTCCTGCCTGATTTCAGGGACTGTAGCCCCACCAGCAGGCAAGAGAGCCCCAAGGCTGGAGCTGAGCAAGGAGGCCTTGGGAAAACAGGCCACTGAGGAGACAAAACCTGTCCCCTGTGCGCCCTTGCCTCCCTCACATCACCCTGCTTGGCCCCAGAGGATGGCTGGTTAGTCAATGATGGGTACGATCCCTCGACGGCAGGGGCAACCGAAGACAGGCACAGTCGCATAGGGGCCATCAGGGAAGGACTTGGGGGACACGGAGAAGGGGCAAAAGACCCTCGCCCCTCGGCTTTGTCATGGCCAGAGTCCTCATTCTGTCTGAAAGAAGTCTGCTCATCTCTTGCCTGCTCTGCTCCCCGGCCTGACTCAGGCTTGAAAAAATGCTAGAGGCAGGTACAGCCCTAAATGGGATCAGGTGGTTCCCGGGGGGCAATGAGACCTAGAAACGGAATGCAGTAAATCCTACGAAACCTGCTTTTCTAAGAATGCCCTCGAGTTAACGAGTACTGATGTTTGGAGCCTGAGCATAGGATGAGTTTATTTTCCCACGTTTTTGGGCCAAATGGGCATCACTCTGTCTACCAGACCGTGACTCAGAAAGACTCTTGTAATCCCTTTACTGTTATCCTTCAACCACATCTCCTTCCTTTAATCATTACTGTTTAACATTGATTAATGAGCTTTACCTATCTGAGCTAAACTCAATAAAAGCCCAATGAGAAAGGTGCTCGGGGCTCTTCGATAAGAGATTAGCCAGCCTTTCCACCCCAAGCAGATCTTGTGTTGGGCACTTTCATTGCATCCACGATGCTGGGGGACACTGTGGATGGAGCTCCCCCTTCACCCAAACTTCTCTAAATTGTAATCACATGAAATTATTTTTCCAAACAATATTAACTTTAATGAATTACAGAGAATTATTATTTTACCAAAAAGATCTAGAAGGGCTCAACTTATTAATTGTATAAATATGTTCATGATATAGTACATACTTAAAAGTTACAGTAATGTTCAGTGGGCACTAAAAACTAATACACTGAACTAAACCGCTTCAAGAAAACTATTGTTTTTAAAGAAGTAAATATTCAGTAGCTCTCTCATTCCTCAAGCACTTGATTTCAAATCTAGGTTTTCTGCTGGTGCTCCAGCCAGCTTCAGACATGTTATCTCTGAGAGGCATGAAATCAAGAGCCTCCTCCAAGACCGTTGGCGTTAAATCTATTGGTATGTTGAAAAGTGAAATGCTCTTATTAATCTTCACATGAGAGGTAAAAATGACCACTTCCAAATCATAGCTCAGGTAATTAAGTATAAGAAAGCTAACAAGAAACATGTAATATAGTCAATATTTAAACTTTGAACAGGCATAACTAGTACACACTTCTAGAAAACAGGGCCATTTAGAAGGGAGGGGGAAGCTATTTTTAAAGTTGAATTTCTTAGAATCACATGAAGCCTCAAGATTTGATGACTATTTCCTTAAGACCTTTAGCTCATCTTTACATATTGAAAGGAGACTTAACAAAATGTTTATTAGGATTGTGTGTGTGTGAGTGTGTCCATGTGTTCAATATCCTTTTAACTTGCTAGGAAGGGAGGGAGGGAGGGTGGGAAAAAGGCAGAAGGAAAAGGAAAATAAAAAAGGGAAGGAAAGGAATGAATAAAGGAAGGAACAGTATATAGTTTTTCCTTCACTAAGCTAAATTAGGCAAATGGGGGAAAGAAGGTTAAGAGAGAATGTACATGATCAAAATAATCCAAGGATGACAACAGCTTCTGCCTTTGCAGAGACCGAGTTGCATAAACACCAGGGTTTATTATATTTACCAAGAAGGCACATTTACAAAACCACATGAAGGAACTGAGCCGGTGAGCAGAGAGGGAAGCATGGAGGGGTGCAGGAGCCACCTGAGATCACAGCGAGACGCCGCAGGCTGTTCTGCTGTGGGCGGGCCCCGGGGACAGTGTCCCTATTTTGTCCCAGTAGCCAGCCAGACTAAATGATTTCTCATGTATGCTGGGAAATCAAGGTGAAGAAAAGCCCAAAACAGTTCATATGGCAACAGACTGCATTTCCCAAACCCCCAGCATAAACACTGTGCTCACTAATCTGTCACAGCATGTGGGTTTTATCATGAAGATAATTATCCAACTCGAATGAGTAGTTTTTATTATGCGTTTGAGATCTTTAAAGTTTTGTTTTAATGATGGAAGGGGTAAAATACTTTGATTTGTCTGGTTCCGCCAGGGAGAGCCGTGGATTAGGCTCTGGGGTTGTCCCTAACTCAGTGAGATCCAAGGCAGGCAACACTTTTGCATCTCTGTATTATTTTTAAATTTTATAGTACCCCTAAATTTCCACATGTGACACATATTCTCCCAGTCTAGGAGTGCAGTAACTCAGACACTGTTATGAACATTCCGAGTTTACTGGGATGGATGGATGGATGGGTGGGTGGGTGGATGGATAGAGACAGACTGCCCGACAGAAACTGAAGACTGCTGCGATTTGCGATTGACCTGGCAGCCCTTCGCTTCTAACTAACGCTGGTGCTTAAACTAGGGCAGGGGAGCGCAGTGGGAGGGGATCGGGCAATAGAGATCTGACCGCTGGGCAGACGCTGGGAAGCACTATTTTAAAGGTTGCCGCTTACAATCCAACGGGAAGCATATTATGAATTTCTTTCAGTTGCATTATGTGTAGTATTGTAATAATAATTTAAAAATTGGGGGATTTAGCATTCTTAGAATCCTGGTTATAACTTTATAAGTTAGTAGTACTGACCTCTGAAATTAAATGTGCCCCTTTGTTTCTTCTCCTCTTGAAAGAAACAAGAATAACTTCCCATTTGTTTGCTATTAATGATGGTGAACCTAAAGACAAGTTAAGTTATTAATACGGGCTTAGTTCTCAAAACACTTCTCAATGAAAATCAAAAGACATAGCTATTAATCAAAATTTAGAACAAAATTCTGTCGATATGCAAACTTGAATATTAGCGGACCATTCAAGCGGTAACAAAGGAAAGAACGCCAGTCAACAGAAGTGTTTACAATTGAACTAGCGGTTCCTCAGGAGCGCACCGGTGACAGTTTGGTACTCACGCGTATTGGGAGTACAGGACTCCCCCGGCCGCCCTGATGGAATAGCCCTTCTCCAGCGGCTCGTCATCCTTTTTCCAGGACACATTCACCGAGTTCAGATCCCCGGATGCTGTGAACTGGCACACGAGTACTATATTCGAAGGTCTTTGCAAAGTAATATTTTTTTCTACTGCAACACTGGAATGTCCTATTAACCACAAAAAGAAACAACAACAAAGATGACACTGTCAGAGCTACATTTCAGGGAAATCCGATCCAGTCAACAGTGTAAGTCACCAACAGTTCTGCTCTCCTGAGACAGCTTCTTTATGTCACATGCCTTCCAAGAACTGTTTCTTCGTCAACACAGATTTGGTTTCCTTCATCATGCTCTTTCCTAGGCACAGCTGAAGAGAAGCTTTGTTAAAACGTGAACAGAATTGCGAAAGCCGCCGGCTGCGACATCTGCCTCCTTCAAATCTCTAGCTGTCAGGACACGGGAGGGAGAAACCCGTGCAGAGCAGCCTCAGGGGCCCTGCCAGAAACGGGGCCGCTGTAGAAACAACCAAACGAGTGGGGAGAATCATTCGCAGTCATTACAGGAACATTCTGTGTATAATGTTCCTTTGTGTGACCTACGAACTCTACCCAGACTTATTCCTTAAGAACTTGGAGGAAGTGGGTAGAGATACAGATCTAAGGCAGAAGAATTTAAATATCCATCCTGTAGTTCTGAATTGTCCCTCAATTTGAAATATCAACACAAAGCCCGGAGGCGATTTATCTATATGTAAATATATAGATACAGAGATAGAGATGAGATAGAGATATGCCATTTATGAAGGATACATAGGACCAATTGTTTTCTTTATTCTGAACAGCGGTAAATCAAAAAAAAAAAAAAATCAAGCAAGTACACTGCCCTACCTAAATGGACCCCTGGTAACCAAATAATAAAAAAGGAAAACTAGAGAATTCCAGCAAATAAGTGAAGAAATGTAATGCAATGATGTTGTAATCACTAATGAATCATGGATCTGGGCATTTTGTATCTACTGCTATAATCACCTCCCAAACAGAACAGCCCACTACCTAGGAAGTCATCTGGGAATAAAGGAGCAAGGAGGTCCTGAAACTGACTGAACCTCTAGATCCAATGACCGGTTTATAGGAAATACCGAGGAGGGGAAAACATGTTAAACTACACCCCGTGGAGGTAATCAACAAAAGCCGGATTATGAGAAGACTTACGAGATAAATCATCTGGTTTTCTTCAACAGATACATTAGAAAAGGGAGAGTAATAAGCCTAAAAATGATAAGATGCTGTAAGAAACATGCCTTGGAGAAAGAAGTAAAACTAAAACTACCACATGTAGGAATGCACACCTAGGTGATAAAACCATTTTAAAAAGCAAGGACGGGACGAACAGAAGTCAGAGCAGCGGCGGCCACTCCCGAGGGGAAGGAGGCGGCCACTTGCAGAGGGACCGCGTGGCGCAAACACACCTCTCGACCTTGTGCTCCCTCCCATGGCCTCTTTGAGAGGAGAACGCAGAACCAAAATGCAGAAAGAAAAAAAAAATAGGACTCAAATAAATGAACATGAAATCACTTTTAATTGTATCTAAAACTTTACAGAAATGCTTCGTGAAGCAACAACCAGGTGCGAAGTTTGCAAACAGTTAAGAGCAGCCAGTGAGAATTGCTTTGTGAGCACAGGCTGGAAATAACTGCTCACGTAATTCCAAAATTGCTGAATTGAATTTTACGCTCAAAAAGAAAAGGAAAAAGAAACACATTAGATATAGTAAGACCTTACATACCAATTATATAGGGAAAACACTGAGTCAGTCAACTGATACAATTTACACACTTCAGCACAATTTCTGCGCATCTTTTATGCATCAGAAAATATCCTGGATACTAGTAACAGAAGAAAATGTTTCAAGATTTACTCTATTTGGTCTTGAGCTTATTTTCTGTAAGGGTTCCTCACTTCACCTTTAGCCCTGGAATACCCTCAAAAAGGGGTCCCCTCTCTGTGTGAGAGAAATCTACTTGGGTAGTCAGTTTCAGGGAGGAGTTCTCTGACGTCACCCCATTCTCATTTCGGTAGAGCCTGTTCTGGTGTTTACACACATAACAGAAAGTGTTTTCTCTTAGGTTAAAAATGGCCTAATTGTTTAACCTGACAGCCTCCTTTCAGAGCTGATGTTTTATTTGCCGTTGCTGAAATATTAGACATTGCCAGAAACTATGACTCCTGGAAACTCCCTCAGCTTTGCGTCTATTTCACAATCGAACATTTTGCTGGCCACGCCAGCTCTCCCCCCTACCAGTAAATGCTGATGTCCGTTGGGACTTTGCTCTCTGGCCTCTTTACGTTTTGCCTTTCTACTACCAGGCTGGATTTACCGATTGTCTCTCATATCCTTTATTTTCAAGATTCTTGGCTCCATTGAGACATCCTTCTTGGTTCCCCAGTCCCACAGGTCTAGGTGTGCACTGAGCACTGAACCCTAGACGCCCCAGAGGTCCTTCCGATGCAGGGTATCCAAGGGAGATGCACGGGCCTTCCCTTCCCCTGGCCTGTACTCTGAGTCACGTCCAGGAGAAGGCAGCAGATTCTACCTCTGAGGCGCCACGCCAGCTCACCTGCTTGTCTCCCACCTTCTTTACTCGGCCGTTGTTGGGATTCTGTTACACTAACCCCAAAATAACGGCACCGTGGTGTATCGGATATTTTAAGCTGAAGGGTCTGAGAAAACAGCAGAAGCAGAAGGGCAACTGTAACTGCCCCCGCCCCAAGCCCTCTCGTCTCCCCTGAATCATGCCATAAAGCCCTCAGGCGAGAGGTGCCCTCTCTGGGCCTGGAGGGCAGGCGGGAGCATCCTCATCTCCAAAGGCCCAGGGACGCGGAGAAGAATCCTGCCACCCAGGTCTGGTCCCCGAGCCTGTCACACGGATGTCCGCCTCTCTGGCCCCGCGTGTCCTCCACAGCGTCCACCAAGCCAGCGTCTAACACTCGGGTCACTCGGGTCGGCTCCTTCGGACATCGTTCCCTCTGAAGGCACCCCTGTCCCGTGAAACACGTATTAAATAAATGTGTGTGCTTTTCTCCTGTCACTCTGTCTTTGTTGGTTTGACTTTCAGACCCAGTCGGGGCCTCAGAGGGGGAAGGGACACTTTTCTATCCTTACACCTTCCTGCTTTTCCTCCAGGACCAGACAACGGCCTTCTCGCTTGTCTTGGCTGCAGATTCTCTTCCTCCGCATATTTTCTGTAACAGCACCAAACGTATGCTTCTAAAACTGCCCAGATTAGACACCTTTCTTCTGCCAAAAAAAAAAAAAAAGGTATCTTCTTTTTCTGTGGTTTTTGAACTTGCTCCTTTTATTTCTGTCCTGGAATTTACACTTCTTTTTTTTGGTTTTTGAGGTTAAGGACACAACATGAGTTCCGTCTTAACAGATTTTTAGGTGTGCAACAGTTTTGTTATCAAGAAGCACGTGGTGTACAGATCTCTAGCTCATTCATCTTGCAAACCTGAAACTTGGACTAATTCCTCCCCACTCCACCCCACCCCCACCTCTGCCCCAGCCCGGACCCCCACCATCCTAGTTTTTTTGCTTCTATGAGGTTGACTACTTTAGGTCCCTCCTCTCACAAGAGCCAAGACGTGGAAATGAAGGGGCCAAACTTTAACACTAGGTCAAGCCTGGGCCGAAACAAGAAACTAGAACAAACAATACCCCAAGATGAAGGGAAGAATTAGAGCCCCCCCTTAGTAACAAGATAGGACAACGGCTGAGCCTTGACTCAGACAAATAGCCCATAAAAGCAGGGTCAGAGCTGAGGATAAGGGAGAAACAAATACCAAGAAAAACATATCAGGGTGCAGCCCCCATGCAGCTGGGCCAGAGTTGACAAGAATGAGGAGGAGGCATAGGGCGAGGGTTGAGCCTTGCCTCAGATACACATCCTGACCAGAGAAAGAGTAGGGGGCCCAGTAACAGCCTTGAACCTAATCAGCAAAAAAAAAAAGAAAGAAAGAAGCTGCCTATTGCTAACTGCCACTTCTCGCCCTTGTATCTTGCTTGCTTGCTCTGCTTATAAAAACCCGTGTACCCTTACAGCGGTGCGCCTTTTTCCTTTCGAGGGAAAGGTGGCCCCTGCGCAGGTAAAACTTGGCCAAATAATAAAGAGTGTGTGATCAAACTCTAATTTCTGAGCTCATACTTGTGGGGATCGTAACAGAAACAGTCCACATGACTGCTGATGGAGGAATGGCCCACACATAGGTGGTGTTATACACGCAATTGAACACCAGTCCATCTTTAGAAACGGGGAAATGCAGCAGCATGCGACAACAGGGAAGCAGCCCAAGGGCCCCACTACAAGTGAAACAAGCCACCCCAGGAGGACAGACACTGCGTGACCCCTCCCCCGACCCCACCCCCGCCCCGCCCACACGCGGAGGTCTGCCTTCGACAGTCCCTGCTCCTGGCACTGCGTCTTTGTTGGAACTGCATGGGTCCTTGGAAGGCTGAGCTGCTTTGGTTTATTGCCTTGCTGGTGTGTAAAAGGAAATCTTAACTCGGAGAGAGGAAAGGGGCCTCAGGAGGTCAGGATGCCTGGGACACGCGGTAGAGAATCCCAGGAAATGCTTTCACATGTTGGAAAACTCCGCTCAGACACTGCTTCAGGAGCCAAGTCTTTGGAGGCCTCTCTGAGCCTCTTCCCCGGGCCTGAGCTGAATGTCACTCGCTACTGCTGGCCCCTGCTCAGCCCAAGTCGACTCCGGCTGGGCCACCGTGCTCAGGGCGGGAGAGCCGGGCCCCGCTGCCAGCTGTGCGGCTGCAGGCGGCCGTGGGGGCTGGGCACGCAGGGCACGCTCTTTTGACTCTTGTGCTATTTCTGACTCTTTGGCACCTCGTGGGGCTGGTGACAAACCATTTCCTTGAGGACAGACTGGCAAGGAGATGTGCCAGCATTGTCACTCCTCGCAGGACAGATTATACAGCGTCACATACACCCCAGGAGATGATGCCAGGCCACTGCGCCCTTTTTGGTGATGTGGCTCCCTGGAGCCTCCTCGCACAGCAGGAAGCTGGACTATGAATCGTCACCTCCGTTGTACAAGGCAGCAGCCCAGTGTCTGGGGCGCTTCCACGAACATTATTCACAGGACAAGACCAAATGTCTG